GCAAATTCATTACAGCTGCTGACGTGGAACACCGTTGGAATCATCTTGTCAATTGGACTAAAGTTTTCGATTGTAGACAAAATAAGTGTAGTTTTACTTGATTTCTTAATTATGCATATCCAACAGCCTAGTTCCAACAATCCCATTGTTCTGGTTTCACGTGACACTCCCGTGCACTCGCCTTCGCTCGCCTGAAAAGAGCCGTAAAGGGACAACATTTTTTCGATAAATTTTAGCCAGTCAATTCAAAAGTATATCATAAGTAAAGCTTGATTTGAAATTCAGGGCCGTCTACGTACCTTCTCACTTGAAGACCACTGTAATCTTGTAACGCATCAATAACGAGACTAAAAAACTTTTATTGTTGGTTTTTTGTTTGTTTGTTTTTTTTCTTTTATATATCAGACTCAAGATAAGGTCTAAAAGGTGTTTTATTGAAAGCTCTGATTTACAGTAAACATGATCGCCTTATTGTTAACCCCTTAACTTGGAAAAAGTTCTTACTCCGTGCCATTTCCCTCTTTACTGTAAAAACCTTGTTTGATGATCACATTTAAACCAGGCTATGAAATAATTTGAATATCACGTACTACAATGAACTAGAATTCTCAAAATGAGTTAAACAATTCTAAAAATTAACTACAATTTAGGCTTAAACACACTACCAAATATCTAATTTAGTGATATTCTTAGACCTTTTTATTATTATTAATTTTTTTTGGAGTGAAATATCGATTGTATAAGTGTAATATCTCCGAACGTCTTTTTAAGCCTTAATGGTTATAATGCTCGCAAATGAGTTATGAAAATTCTAATAAATGGGCTATTTAGATCATCGATGCACTACAAAACGTCTAATAAGCGATGTCTTACCCTGTTTATTTTTTTCCCACTACATATCTTAAAGCTTGTTTGCGTACCCAAACTTTTTTCTAAGTTATCTGATAAATCTATACTCATGACAAACGTCCTAACATAGCGAGAATAGACGTCACTTTACCTCATATTAGTTACTATAATGCTCGAAAACGAGTTATGAAAATTCTAGAAATGAGCTACTTAGATAACTTAATAAACTGCTAACTGAAACATTGATTAGTGACGTCTTATTCAGTAAATTGTTCTTCTTTTTGTCCCTTTTGTATTAATTTCTCTTGCAACTAGAGATACTGTTGAAAAAAAGGAAAATTCGAAATTTACCCTGATAACTCGCCAAAGGTGCTGTGGAATTAGGCTATTTTGATTGTTGTTATTATACTGCCGAATCCCCCGTAGCTAAAGTCCAGACCGTGATTTTTTTAAGTTCCTTGATATAATCTCCAGCCCTAAATAACATTAACCGTAACTCCTATTAACTAATTGCTCGGAAAAAGTTACAAAAAAAAAAAAAAACTATAAGAAATGAGATTGTCAGGATGCTAATAATTATCTGCCATTGGAAATCTTGAACCACACAACTGTCTAAGTTGTATCGTCGAATACTAAGTGCTTTGGTTTTTTTTAGACTCAAAATGAAACACTCTCCCAGAATTAGTCAAGAACCTAGAAATGACTTATTTAAATTTATGTTTTACTGCCAAATCTCTGCTAATTATTATTTAAGCCCGTTAGTCTTTTTTAAAATCAGTACACCACCAAACTTCTTTGTTCTTCTCTAAATTAAGGATATTTCATAAATGAAGCAAGCTGAAAGCGATTTCAGTTAGAAATACTCGTAAATAAGACTATCAGAATACTAAAAACGAACCATAAGATCGTCAATATACTACTTAATATCCAATAATTGACGTCTGTGCCTCTAAATGATTCTAAATTTTATTTTTTATTGTTTGCTTGTTTCCTAAAATAGAGATACTAAGAAACGTAACTTCCAAACATAATCTAAATGCTAAACATTTGCTTTGGTTATGATATATGTCTTTTTTTTAAATTACAGTTTTAGGAAAAAGAAACTGAGATAGAAGGTACTCTAAGTGGAAGCTATTCATGGACTTTAAAACTTTAAATTCCCTCTAAACTACGAGTAAGCCTAATGAAGCCGAAAACATTAGAATGAAAATCAGCTAAAATTCATATCTAAAACCACTGAGGAATTGCTTCTCCCTCAAAGTAAATCATGTATACTACTAATGATAGCAAATAACTTCAATAAAAAGGATCAGTAGATGGACATAATTTTTCTAATTACCACATAATTATTACTAGAATTGCTTTTTCTATCACTTAAATCCTTCTGTTCTTTTCTCCAACCATGAAGGTCTCTTTTACTAATGGAAAGAGAAAAAAAACAAATTTATCAATGCATGAATATAATAATTATTACGAATCACATTGTTTTCTTTTACGCCAGAGACAGCTTAAATCACTGCAGATGCAGTTTTCCTTTTTTTTCGGTCACCACAGGCTTAAAGAATGTAAGGAAGTGTTACATTGTTGGAGTGGGAAAGAAAATCAGTTGATTCAGGTTTTAGCGAGGTACAAGAACCTGAGGGTTCAAGCAAGCAGGAGTCAGTTTTTTCCATCAAACAAAAGTCAGAGATTTTTTACACTACTTCTCAAGTATGAGACTAATTCCAAAAGTTTGATAAGAACTCAATCAAAAGACAATTTCTTTTTCAAGCTTTGTTTTCCGCAAGCTTTCAGTCATTAGTATTCAGAATTGCTGAGGGATATATGATAAATATTTACCTTGGAACGAAAATAGAGAACTAAAGTAGAGGACATAAAAGATCAAACTCCTCATCTTCCCTGGATGGAAAACGAAAAAAGATGACAATTAAGCTACTATAATCTGAATCTGTTTTTTACTAATACAACTCTAGCTTTTCTGTGTTAGAGTAATTGGAAAATTGTGGTACACGATATTTCGATCATTATTTTTATTTAATGACATATACCACACGGCAGCTATGTTTTACAAAAATATTTGTAAAGCGTCTCCACAGATGTCAGACAGATTTTGGCTCCTCGATGTTACGAAGTGTAATAAAACTTAAGCGTTCTCTTTCATTTCTTAATTCAGTCACTCCTTAGCGTTTCGCTTTCTTCAGGGAATACGTTGGACTTATTTTGCGTCACCTTATGACCACTCTGAGTCGATGTTGGCTAATTATAAGGAATGAGTTGAGGGGGTAATTAAAAAAAACTGTGGTGCTTTTTCGGCGAGAAATATACATAATTTGGTTTCATTACCTGATTTAATAATATAAATTGGCCACCGGAAAGAGTTTCAAGGCTGACGTTTCAAGCATTAGCCCTTCGTCAGAGTGAATGGGGAGATTGGTTTGTGTGTGTGTTTACATACACACAAACCACAACTTTCGTTTATACCGATTTGAAATAAATTAATAAAAAAAATGTTTCAGAGTTTTCCGTCTTTGTCCTACTACGTCCTACTTCGCGACTGTGTTCTCAGAATCGGTCACCCAGTGGTCTCCCTGCTTCGACGTGAAATGATCATTGAACATGATGGATCGTTTGTTTTGCTGTGTTTGAATGAAATAGGTGGTGGTTGCGCCAAAGTAGTACCAGTCTTTGAATCATTTTAAAGAAATTTTAAGTTTTTAAGAATGATGTATTTAACTGATGGCTGTAAGGGTGAAATGTGGGAATGAATTAAATGCAATCGGTAATTTACTTCTGTGACGCGTGTGGTGCTGACGGTCGATCAATTTGTTGGTTGTGGTGGTGGCCCGCTTGAACGACAGAATAGAATAGCTATTGGCACATTGCCTTTGATATGTCGGAAAAATCACAGTCATAACTACATAACAGACGAAGTCTAACAAACTGAGAAAGGGCAGTGGTCTTCTTAACATGTAATGGATGCGGAGGTGAATATTACAAGTAACTATATAAGTCGGTAGGTTTGTTGTACACACTAGTACATTAACCTTCGCATTTAATTAAAACTTTCATTTCTAAAAAGGCCAAGAAATGTCGGAAATTTCCTAGGTGTATTTTAGACAAGGAATTGACTGCGGTTATAAATTGCGGTAGCACCGATATACACTTCAATGTAGCGACGTAGAGTTTAGGTTTGAGGCCGTTGTATTAACCGAAAAATTGGCGTTCGATAAGACCTACGAAAATATTGGCTTTAGCTGGTTTCATTGTTACCCATTCTTTTTTTTTGTAATAGTTGTCCCCGAATGAAAAGCAAGTGTGCATAAGCACTGTTTCGGCTAAGCTGATTAGTGTTTAAGAACTAGGTCCCATAACGGTACGAAGAGGTTAAGTTGCGCTTCTAGTTCCGCCAATGTCATATATAGCATAACTTGCACTTATTGCAAAAAGATATACATTGATGACACAGAACGGTGACTAGGCGGCCAATTTCTAAAACACCTTTGCAATTTATAAAACGCATCCAAACGAGTTGCTAGACACTTTAATCTTCCTGAACGTTCTAGGAGTCACATGGCAGTCTACGGCCTTTCCCTATATCTAGGCAGTTCGGAGGGGGGCACAACTCTAGAGCAAAAAAATTATCTTTCAAATTGGCACTCTTCATCCCCATAGTATTAACAAACGCTTTTTATTCACTCTAATATTCCTTGTCACCATGTTCTCACCTATAGCGTATCTCCATTTTCCACATATAAACACTCACACAACCTAAATTCCTCCATTCGCTCTGACGTAGGGCTGACACTCGAGGCATCAGCTTTGAAACTCTTCACGGGGGTCAGTTTACATTATCAACTCGGTCGATAAACCCAAGTTATCTGATTATAAGGAATGTTACCTTCCTCTTCCGTGTCCATGTCAGGCTCAAGCTCAAGCGCTTTCTTGTCTTCTTCTTCGACGTTTTCAGCTTTTTAAGAAGATAAAGCATTTGATAAAATGTACATTAGTTTCAGTCGTTCAATCTTGCTTTGACTTGAGCATTTTAAGAAGTCATTATCTTTTTTCTTAGGGACTACCAAGGTAAAAGATATGCTTCAATAATTCATCTAGCGCGTTAACACCTTGGGTAACCAATCAAAATCTCTATATCCTTTACCTTCGTCACTTGGCATCGGAATCTCTTCACTCTCCACCTGCTCCTTAGATTCTGTGTGATAGCAAGGTTGTTAATTATAATGAGATATGAGTACTTTAAGGGAAACGTATAGAATGCATTATAGTAACTGTCAGTGTTGCTGTGTAGGCTAACGCATATATAATACCTATCAAATATAATAAGTGGTCTTCATAATAAACCCGGCCCATGGTCGAAGCCACCAAATTGGCTCATTTAGCTGTAAAGGTTAAAAAAATTAAAGCAAAAGAAACTGAACCGTATGAAATTTACCTTCTTCAATTGGCTGTTCAGGCTCGCTTTTTTTCTCTCCTTTCTGACCTGGAGAAACACATTTTGAAAAAATTAGTAATCGAATACTTGTAAACTTGAAACTAAGCACATTATGGCATTATGAGTAAGTAATAAGATGATTAAAAACAAATGACATTTGTTGAAAATTTTTCAACTCTTGTATCAATAGCTATTAAAGATATTCACTAGGCATTGCGCAAGAGTCTTCTACCCTAAACGGGCATGAGGCAGGTGGTGTTTGGTGCACTTGCGTGTAGGGCATGAATACGTCTAATTTTGTCCAATTTCCCCCACTCTGTCTTTTTAAGTTTGCAAGAGTCATTATTTTCAGTTAGTGAGGAAAGACTTTTTTGACCTTAAAGGAGATGGTGACCACCTAGCTTCTTCTATGAATTCATTCAAGAGACCGAAATAGAATCTTTTTTGTATAACATACAAGGATATATAAATAAATATACCACAAGCCAGTTTTGTGGAACCAGCCAACACTTTGGGTTGTACGAGGCTCTTCTTAATTTATTGTTTGGTAGACTTACATAGTTTGTTTAAAAGTTCTTTACCTTCGACAGTCTTTTCAGTGGCTGGTCGGATGTCAAAATCATCCTCATAATCTGTTTCAAAAGAACAAGTAGAGTAAACCATGCCATGATGCTTATGTTATACAGCTCACATTATTTCACATGTGTAAGTTTATGCGCATGATAACGTGTATTTGAAATCACACTTTTTCAAAAAACAGTTGATGTGACTCAGTGCTTTCTTTCATTAACTCCCACCACATCATTTCTTGCTCAGCATCTGGCGATTCTCAGGAACAATTTTAAACAGCAGTCGAAGTTACAATTTACAGTTGTAATGATTACAGTTCTACTCTTGTGAATAAAACAGTTCTACATGACTTGTTTTAATATTTTTGAAATAAAAAAAATAATAATAAAAACATAATAATAGGCGGGAAATTTTATTTCAATTAATAAGATATTTTACCGGAAGAAGATGGGGTCTCATCCCCTCCACAGGCTTGTTCCATAGCTGTCGATGGACCAAAAAATTATTTTCCAGTTTAAGTTATTTACCTCATAGTAGAACCGCAAACTTAAATCATGGAATGATAATTGTGAATACTTATTAGTCATTAACTAGAGCTCTGTCGTATGGGAACCAAGTGAGGTTCAGAAAGTGCGTAAGGAGAACCGTCTCCAGAATTGTTGAAGGTAACTTAAGAAAGACCAAAGGAGTTAGTTTTATTATAGGTTTTTTCTTTCAGTAATCAGCTTATCGTGATTACATTAAAATTCATGGCGTTTATGTCATAACGGGATGCCCTTCCTCTATTTTTCTTTTCTCAAAATGCACAAAAAGAATTATCGGAAGAGGAGCAGAGTGGTATGTTTCCATTTATTTATTTTAATCAGGAAGAGTGCTAACATGTGGTAGATGATTTAATTTAAATATATACACGTGCCATGCGAGTTGAAAACTATGAAATCAATCACATATGACCAAAATCATTTTAAAAAAAGTACATTCATACCCACGATATAATACCTACGAGTACTGAGACGAATAATTTGCTTCACAGGTTTCCCATTTGATTACCCACTTAGCTAATTGCGGAATGATGTTTCAGTGAAAATAAGTATACGGATGGAATACTGACCTGGTTGCAGAAAAGGCGATTCAGGAGCTTCCACTTCCGGGATTTCGTTGTGCTCTATTTCTTGCATTTCAATCTGCTCTCCTATGGGAAGAAAATGTGGGAAAAAGGGAATAAAAAGGAAAAGAAGAAACAAAGGAAAATCATTATACATTGAACACTTGAAGTTGGAGAGAAGTCATTTAATTTTTAATTACACAAGGAATCACCATATATTACCCTCTTCGTTGTTGGCGTGTTCTTCATTCATAATCTGTCCCTGCTGATCATTTCCTGCTTCCGCTATGTAACAGAACAAAAAAACAAAAAAACAAAAAGCAAAAAAAATTGTCTTAAACTTTTACAAACAAAGATTAAGGCTTATCCAAACATCAGTTTAAAAAGTCATTCTTCAAGTCAGATCTGCATCTTTAGAAGCTTATCCATCTATATTTTGAAAATGGTTCACAGTTTTACGCTCACATTCTATTTAAAAAAGGTTTAATTTGCAAGTGGTATCCATTTGCCCCAATATTGCTTGGTTCAGAGATCTGGTACCTAAATTACGGCGCGAGAAAGAGGCGAAGTCTATCTCATCGGTATGAAGAATAATTAGCGAAAGTTTCTTGAATTCATTGTTGGAGAGTGAAAAAGTATTTGTGGGAGGGAGGAACTGATAACATAGCTAACAAATTCAAGTTCCCAAATTCAAGTTCCCAAATTCAACAGCGTAAGCGTGCTTCATAATCCTATTGTACATGCTAATGACGTCTGCAGACATATGCCTCCAGATTGAAAATTTTCCTCAGCGATTGAATGCGAACTTGCGGACGAGTTTGGCTGAGAGGTTTTCAAGAAATTCATCCTTTCCATCCCGATTGAGATAGACCTTTAAAAGCTCTTATTGAAAGGTAAATCTGTGGAAGGATACTCGTTTGGGAAGCGATGATCTTTTAAGTCTTAAAAGCGATGGCAAGAGCTCTCGGGTGAGCAATACTACGATTCCCAAACACGATCCGAATCATGGATGGAAAACGAAACTGAATTTGCTGAAAACAGTCGACTTCGCTATTTTGGGGCATTCTTTTGCTCGTTAGATATATTTTTATAAGTGTTAACATACCTGAAGTATTCTGCAAAAGAAGATTTTGTTTTAGATGTGATAACTTTTGAACACAACGCTTCGCAATATTCTGGCCATGAAGTCAAGTAAACAGCGATCCCAGAAATGTGAATCTTTAACGCGGGTCGAACATACGCAAGGAAATATGATTCTTTTCGGCAATACATAACGTACTTGGTATTTATTTGAATGAAGCGTTTCTCTCTTTTTTGACTTACCTTTCAGTTCACGTTCATTGGGTAAACCCGACGTATATAAGAAGTGACTTTGAAATCTGATTGCCAAGTATGCACTGCGAATTTTATTTTAAAAATTTTGGTTTCTGAGTACATTATAACAAAAAACTGTCAAATTTTTTTCTAGCTTAGGGATAGGTCTTTGAACTTATCTAGTTTCATTAGAGCTTGCGATTGTTCAAAGACGACTTATTTGAGACTAACTGCGCGCTGTATTTCTCGAAATTTTCCCAAATTGTGAGAAAACAACATGCAACATAATGCGTTGACAATGTTATAAAACAATTGGCTGATACTTCAGCTGTGCATTCGTGGGATATGAAGCATTTAGGAAGTTTTGATAAAACCCAAGAAACTAAAGTTTCGGCCGTTTCTACCGCTTGTTGCGCACTATCTTTACATTGCACAATAGGTTGCATATGCAATCCAAACTTGTGATGAACCGACAGATTTATTCTTCCGGCTGGTGACCTTGAAGTTCTCCACACTTCTAGTCTTGCAAATTACAGATTTCCAGTTCGCAAATGAAAGATTTTGAGTTCTTTTCACAAATGACAGAATTTGCATTTCGTTTCATATCATTTTGTTTTATTTTGCCTAATACAGTAACCCCCCGCTACGAATCAGCAGGAAAAAAAACAGAATGCATCCCTCGCGCATAAATCTAGCAGCTCTATATTTTTTTACTTTGCCGCCATATCTCTCCCACAAAAAAAAAAATAAAAATGCAATAAAATAAAATTGACTGTCCCACTTTGAAGTTCGAAAAATTTTCGCTGATTTTTACTACCTCGGTTTTTCCTCTTTATACCGATGACAGTTCATTCCCGCGCCGAAGTTGCGGCACTTTATCTCTGAACCGCTATAACTCGGAATAGCTCATGAACATTAAATTATGATTTCTAATCGGGTCGTTTCTTCTATTGACATTATAAATTTAGTGCTTAGTCCCCATTTCTTCCCACAGTTTTAATCACTCTCTTGCATTAATTTCTTTTCTTGCCGGCCTCTTCTACAATACCTTCTGTTCTTTACGAAAACCTGTTATAACATTTTGTTTATTATGCCTTTGAGATTTAAAAAATTTTCTTTTTGTCTGTTTGTTTTCGTTTTCTGTTTTTTTTTTTATTGGAAGCAATGTTTGTTTTTACCATTTCATACCACTTTCACCCTCATCTCCTCCAAGGCCTTATTATGGTATATATAAATGCACCGTACCGTCTTGATTTTGTCCACTTCGGAAAATAGATCGAACATTGAACCACAGTTTCCTCAGTTTTGGTTTCAACACAGCTTGCACCTATACATTATCAATTTATGCGGCAGTTAATGAAAGAGATATTTACTAAATTGCATTTAAATTTAGGTTTGTCTCCATGCTTATAACCAACAGTGAAGAAGTAAACAGAAAAACTGTGCTTCTCCACTTCTGGGGTACTTCGCAAAAAATATACAAAAACAAACTTTTATCGACTGTAACTTGAGGGTCTCAAAATAAAATTTGTCAGTCGTAATAAGAATAAATTTGAAAAAGAGAGAGGTTGCCTTTGAGTGAAAGTATCAAAATTTCTGGAAAACAGTGGGGATAATCGATCTGTGTTTGTTTCAAAAATCATTTCGCAGGGGTGTCTGTTAAGACTGAAAATGACCGTGTATCGTATTTCAAAGCAAGAGAAAACTGTTACCTGTGGAGTAGAAAGCGTGTACAGCAGTGGGTTGATAGCTGAATTGATCGGCAAGGCGAACACTGCAATCCACACTGCCAGATCACCAGGTGGATCAAACGTTTTCTCGACGTGGGACTTAATGCCGATAGCAATGATTGGTATCCAACACAAGAAATCGGTCAGAATAATGAAGAAGACTCTTTTGGCAAGTGCTCTTTCTCTTTTGGCCTGTGCGCTTTGTGCTCTTGCTCGTATTTCACGAACAGTTCCATGCGCACCCAGCCGTCTGCTCGACGACCATGATTTCAACAAGATGGCAAGATAAGCAATCATAATGAAGATGAAAAGAGAAAAATTGAAAATGATAAAGATGGAAGTGGAGAATTCCCAGCCTTCTTGTAACTGCGGGGAAAGTTGCAGTGGCAGGCACACCACGTTCTTGCCATAATACCAGTCACCAAAGTATCGCATTCCAGACAAGGGAAGGAATGCCATAATGCCTCCCACCAGCCAGATAACTGCGCACATAATACGGGTCTGCCTTGGTGTAATTTTTGCAAACGTGTAAGGAAACACAATGTTCTTGAGCCTGTCCCATGCAATCAGAGAAATCATCATAACAGACACCTCGCTTGAAAGGACAGACATGGCGCCATTGAAAGGGCAAAACCAGCCGGTGCGCCACTCATAGTCGTGCAGGTAGTATTCCCCTGACCATTGCAGGTCTTTTATACCTATAATGATGAGGTAAATACCCATGATGCCGTCTGAAATACCCAGATTTACCAACATAATAGACTGAACCATATTGTTATCAGGGAGGAAATACTGCCACCCAACTACAAACACAGACCCAAACAACGAAAGAAGGCCGACAACCCAAAAGACTTCTCCTTGGAGCAAGGTTGCGGAACATGGAGTGACAGCTTGCGAAGTTATCATTGAAGGCAAATTCGCAATCGGCATCCTGCCTGAAAAGATCAAGGTGGCAGCACATCAGGTTGGTGTCCAGAGTTCTGGAATTAGAAAAAGAAGGGGAAATTAAAAGGGTACATCGTTAGAACAATGAGAGCAAAATAATAAAGATCATCGAAAACAATCGGCAAGAAAATAGTGATCTATGTTGAGGCAAAGATGATTGATAAGCATTTTTTCATAAATTAATAGCAATTAGAGAGCCTCATGAAGCATACCATAGGCAATGGTATTTAATATCTAAATGAGGCTTCATATCATTTCAGTATTGGAATAGATAGAAGATGTTGGCATTAATGAAAATTTCTCGATCAACTGAACCATAACAGACTGAAGGAAACAAAATTATTAAAATGGTTGCATCACCCACATTACAATTTGAAAATAATTTCTATTTTAAAGGTAATTCAGACAACATCCGCCCCAAATCTCCTATTAAGCCGTCGAGTTAAATTATTATAATGGAGTATTACACTCTAATAATGTGCGGCAGAAGCCCAAAAAAGCCTATGGGGAGCTCAGCCATCAGGTTGTAGTGCATGAACCTGCAAATTTAAATAGAAGGTGAAAATAAAGTTAGATTATAATAAATTGTATATCTCATTTTCCCAAGCCTTTCCTTTGACTTTAACTAATTAAAAATTATACCCAATTAACTATAATACTCTAAATTAACTTCACACCTGCATCTTATCCGATTGCAATACATGTGGCTCTATTGTAGGTACCGTGATGAAGAACTGCCATTTGCAGTGAACTTACAAAAATCGCAGTTCCCGGGCATGACTGAAAGTCGTGCTGGTGACATTTTGTATTTTATTGCCAAAGATACTTCTGTAAAAAGTAATAACATATTTATTAACCAGCAGATGGTAATCAGGGTCTTGCATTGTCTGATTCTTAAAAATTACACCTGAAATTGCCGTATCATAGTTCTCCACTATGTTTGTTTGATTTTTTGATAATATCCACCTTTGCTCAATAAAACCATGTTTATAGCAAGCCACCCTTTTTTTCGTCAAGAAAGTAGATAGTAATAAAATTTCGCTGTTGAGCAATACAATTTACACCACGCCTGTTGGAGATCATGTTAAAATTTTCAAAAAAGAATTCCATATTGTGCATCTTTCTGTTATGTACATTTTCATCTTTTAAAACAATTTAAGAAATTGTTTCGTATGTTTTCAGCTGTACTCACAGGCCCTTGAGGTCCTTAACGCCCTCGAAAATCTTGTCAGGCAAAGCCTCGATTCTGTTCTCCGAGAGATGTCTGAAACAGGTAAGGGGGAATTTAAATTAATATACAAGTAACATAGAATAACTAGGCATGGCATATCTAATTTAAACAGCAAAACTGATATCAAAACTATATAACAATTATATAGATCTGGTGACAAAGATTGTGTTCCATTTATTATACAGGCTAGTACAAATAGAGGATACTAACTATATTTACTAGGGTGTTCCCTTTTATGGCTCCTGATTTTCTGTTCCAACTAATATCTGTACAAATTAATTTCCTCAGAAAATTAATCGCATGGCCGTTTTAATCCAAACCTTCGTCCTCAAAATCAAAATTTATAGACTCAGCTAAATTGGAGCCATTTTTTCTTTGTTCAAAAAAGCTCTTTTCCTTTCAAGTTAACTTTATCATTGCGGCTCTATAATCTGAAAGACGAATATAAACAGAAATCTCGGTGCACTTGAGCCGTTTATCGCTTAAACGTTAAAAAGAAAAACCTTGCTAATATATGATAATCATGCGCTTCTTTGGGTATTACCTCTCTTCATATAAATATGGTTAATTTGTAGACATTTCCATGTCAACTTTTATTCACTGAATGAGTTTTTTTCAAAATTCATATGAATGGGCTGGTTCTAAAATATGCTTTAGATTGCAACAGATCATAATGAAAAATTACCATTTAAAATCTAAATGTACTTACAACTCGAACAACTCCACTAAGCCCTGGAATTGATCTTCATGAAGCCTCTCAATTTTGTTGTAGTCCATTTTCCTGAAAAAGCGCGGTGCAGATGTTAGACTGAAATACACACATGAAGGGATATCTTTAAATCTACTTTTGTCTTAATTATCTTCTTAGTTTACTGCAGTACGATTAACTCCCAGGTTTGATATTTGAATATCATAGAAAAAAAGAAAACATTAGAGCTACATGCAACTTTAATGCTCTCAGGTCAGAGAAAATTTAGAGTTTATTACCAGAAACCTCTGCTCGAGGTCTGGCCCGGGTTGTTCAAAGCTGGGTTAGGGTAACTCAGGGTTAGTGTGAGATTTGATTTCAGGTATGAAAGCTTTAAGAGAAAATTCAGTTCAAAGTTTTTTGCTTCCAATTTGATCATTGGATGTTCTAAAAGAATGGTGAAAAATTTTCCTTAAAGACTCTTGGACAAAGAAATAAAGAAACCTGAATTAAAATTCAATTCTGGGTTAGGGCTAATCGACCTTTGAACAACTGGGCCCTGTGTTGTTTAAAGCTGAATTGAAAAATCGTAAGTAGTCTATTGCCCATTTTTACAAAATTATATTATTTGGGTTGCTTTAGGATCTACGTCAACAAATTCTAAGCTTCTGTCACAAAAAATAATTGCAAGACAAAAAATTTTAAGCTGCCTAAAATATATAAGAAATGTAAATTGTCATAAACTAGGAAGCCGATTTCCTCGCTTCTTGTTGTAATTGCAAGGTAACTCTGAAAGATAATTTTTGATTTATCTCAACTTAAGGAGAATATCACTTACAGAAGTCTTACAGCTGTAATATTTTTAAAGATGTATGGCGGTAGATATCCAATTTCATTACTTGACAAATCCCTAAAATGTAATAACAACCATAGTTACAAATATATCATGAAATTACCAATATTGATTCATAGAATAAAATCTCTAAGTACCTCAATTTGTCTCACCAAAGCACATCAACGTGATGTAGCATTCTAAAATTCGTTTAAACAGCTTTACAAAAATTGACCATGAAATCTTCATGACAGGGAGACAAAAAATTATCCATAGAGTTTTTTACTAATCCTTATGGAGGAGAATGACCCAGGGGTTGTGGGTCTTATTTTCTTTCGCTCTCCTCATAATAAATGACCTGTTTTAGCGTACTTTCATCTAGCAATTTATTCATTTTTATCACCAGAACTGTGCTGTTTCAGTAAAAAAACATGAGCGCTCGCAAATTTCGATTTATATACACTTCAGACCTTTCAGTTTTACTTTACATGTTTCTGTTAACTGAATATGGCCACGCAGCTTTGAGAAATGTGCTCTTGGAAAAATTCATTGACCTCTTTTCACATTTTTTCTTTTGTTGAATGATTACTGTACTCACAGATATTTCAGACTGGAGAGGCTGTTAAAAATTCCATCTGGTAGAGTCTTCAATTTGTTGTTAGACAGATAGCTAATAGGAATGACAAGACAAGAAAGTGCGTCTTAATTCACAATGTTATTTGAAATTCGTTAAAAAAAATACATACAGACACTGGCCATTAAGAAAAATGAAGGAGCTAAATGTAATCGTGTACAAGCAATGTGCGTAATATAAAAAAGAGAAAGGAACAGTTAATGCAGTGCAATCGCCATGGCTGGCTCGCTAATTTTACAGAAAAGGAATAGCCACTTGACAAGTTGAAATTTGATCGCACCCTAAGCACTGCTATCTGAGGCTGGTAGAAGCTGATTATCTCTCCTATTCCAGTGAATTACTCAGTAAAGAAATCATCGAGCCCGTGTTTTGTGCAGACACCTAACTAGTTCACAACAGAAAACTATTTAATGACTAGACACGATCTATGGCACGCATCGATTTCGTTGCTGTATGACTGAAAATCTTCTATTCTGCTTATCAAAACAACAATGACGATACAGTTTGAGATGGTTCAATTGGTTTCTTTCCGTTTTTAGTGCTGAAGGCAATATCAGAAAAATTTGAAAATGGAAATATCTCCTCTAATCTCGTATAGTTATTGACGCAATAATAGGGTTACTAGATTATTATTATCAATATAATCACACGAGCAGGCTTCTTTTGGAAGGGAGGTGACATTAAATGCTAATAATCATCCCTTAACCGCTGTTACAGAGCTAAATAGCTAAAAAGCGTCTGCATGTAACTTACAGTTCCTTCAGTCTTTTTAGATCTTGGAATAATTCGGGAGGCAATTCAGTGAAGTTGTTGTCTTGCAACCATCTGCGTTGAAGAAGAGAAATCTACTTAGTTTTACTGGGAAGTTTACAAATTACTATAAGTTATAAGAGAAAAAAAGAAATAAAATGTTTAAAAAAATAAAAGAATGGCAGAATAAAAACCAAAACACAGTTATTTCTAATAACTGTATCGTGCGAAACACAATAAAACAAATAATTACATGAGTCTGATCATACATCACAACAAAATGCAATGTCATTCGAAGCAATGCCATGCGATAAAGTTCTACGTAGTTATTCAACGAGTGGGAGGGCTGAACTGGAAAATAATACGCTCGAGAGCATGGCGCACGTAGGAGTGGGACGGATTATATGATGTAACAAAATTTTAGAAGGACAACATCAACAAACTGATAATGGTTTCTCAAGCTGATGCAGTGTTAAGAATTAATCTTCACTTTACCTCAATTCTTCAATTTTTATCAACTTGGAGCAATGATTTGCATCAGAAGATATATTGATAAAACTTTTCCAGAGAAATTCTTTGACAAAAGAGGTCTCGCTTGAGTGCAGTGAGAATTTAAACCTTTCCTAACTTTTAAAATCTGACTGATTTCGAAAAGTTATCAGTGCTTTCCTATTATCTGATTCTGTATCATTGCACAATATGAGTCACAAAAAAGAATTTAATACATTGAGATCCTGCAGTGGGAAATTATAAATTGCGCAACTTTGTTTCTACGAGTAGCAATGCCTTCAAAAACAGTATTTTCATATTTACTTACAGTTCCTCTAAAATTGCCATTTTTTTGAAGGTGCTTCCATTTAATTCTTTCATGTCGTTGTCATTCAGGCGTCTGCGTTATTTATCATATGAACTGATTAATAGAGTTAAGTTACGCCTGGGCTCAGTTGTTCGAAGGCCAATTAATACTAACCCAGGGTTAATTTTCAATCTACGTTTCTTTATTTATCAGTTCAAAAGCATTTTTGAGAAAAAATTTCCAGTTTTTTTCAGAACATCCAATCATTAAATTGATCATCAAAAAGATTTAAACTGAATTTTCTTTCAAAGCTTTCAGATCTGAAATCATATTTTACACTAACCCTGGGGTATCTTAACCCAGCTTTGAACAAGAAATAAATTCTAGGATGGTGACTCAGAACGTGGAATCTGATGAACTTGTCAAGGTTTCTCTGTAACACCTTGACTAGTGTCAATTTAAAACGATGACACTTAAGGGGTTTTAGAGTTATTCTGCCGCAAAAGAGGCACATCTTAGCCGCGCTTCAAGAAAGATTTGAAAATATTTTAGGTATCATTAAATCTGTCAAATTCCTTGTTCCTCTGGATATGCGAAATTGGTACGCAGGTGATAACAGGTATGAAATTTGAGTTTTATCAGCAAGTGTGGGGGTTGGCCGCGACACTTCGTTGTGTGTGATTTGTTCTTTTAGAGCAGAGTATGAGATCAAATGAGCAGGATTTTTTTTTCACCTTTGAACTTTACATATCTTAGGTTCTTAAACAAAGTATACGACTCACTGGTCGGTAATCCTGAGTTTAAAAAATAATAACGACAAATAAATGTTACTCACAAGAATCTCAATTTTGTGTTCCAGTCGAAGATTCCGGGTGGAAGGTTGTGCAATTGCATCTCAGACAAGTACCTATTGATACAGTCCACATACATAAGTGTTGCATAACGTACAAAGAGCAGCAATACCGTACCAAATCACTTTTTAAAATTTAAGTGTAACTTGAGGCAATGACTATCTTTTTGTAATCATTGCGATTTCATCTCAATTTTTTTTCCTTAATACGGTGTAAGACGAGTTATCTCCTTAAAAAAATAAACGGTAAAACAAAGTGCGTGAACTAAATAATTCAAGTGAGTTTAGCATTTTTTTAAGGGGGGGGGGATAAATTAAGCTTTTTTACGAAGCTATGACCTTCATTTGAAGTCCATTGAAATTCACAGTGAATATTATGTTTTTAAGTTACTTAATTTTCATGATCGTCTGGGCCATAAGACCTTTTAATCATGTGTCTTCTAGTAGAAGACATTTAAAGATTTAATTTTGAATATATTATGAATTACAAACCCCCTTTGAAGATTAATAAAGGAGCACATTCATAGAAACACATTCAAAGAAAGTGTTTCAAACAATGGCAGTAACGAGGGAACCCAGGCAAATTCGTAACGAAACAAAAAAAATTAAGATTCCCTTTCCTCCATTGTGTTTTCGCTATCTTGCGATATTTTGAGATGTTTTTACGAAGATAGCCTGCTATGTCAATAACAAGATATTATTCGTGATATTAGATACATATGCAAATTTTGCTGCTGGGAGCCAGTTATTCCCTAACATCTTGTACCTAAACTATGCTTTTTAACTGTTTTTTTAAAAATTTTAAATTACTCCAAAACGATTCAGAGACTGGCACTATCTTTTCGCAACCCCACTTATTTCATTCAAACGTGACAAAAATATAGGCAACTTTTTAGTCAGGAGCTCATTTCAAACCAATGACCAATCTGGAACTTTTAAATGCGCTCGCTCACGATGCAAAACTTGTCTTTTCATTCACAACGTAGAGAAAATATCGGGACCTAAAAGATCCATTAAGATCATCGATCACTTTACGTGTACCTCCGCCAATGTTATTTACTGCATAACTTGCACTTATTGCAATAAGTTATACATCGGTGAAACAGGAAGACGACTGGGTGACCGCTTCCGAGAACACCTTCGCGATGTGGAAAGAAATGGCAAGGACGCATCCAAACCAGTTGCTAGACACTTTAATCTTCCTAATCATTCTAAACAGCATATGGCAGTTTGCGGCCTTTCCTTACATCTAGGCAGTTCGGAAAGTCGTAAAACACTAGAACAAAAATTTATATTCCAAATCGGCACCCTTAATCCCCACGGAATCAACGAGCGCTTTTCATTCAACTAATTTATTCCTGTTTTCTCGTCACCATATTCCCACCAATGGCGTAGCCCCACTTTCTGCATTTAAATCCACACAGAACCCACAATTCCTCTAATCGCTCTAACGAAGGACTAACGCTCGAAACGTCAGCTTTTTTACCCTTTACGGTGGCTAATTTACGTTTTCAACCCAGTTGTTAACACTAAATTACCTGCTATACTCTCCTACCGACGCAGCACCACAGTTTCTTTAGAAACTTACCCCTTGATAAAAAAAAACTACTTTGCTAAGCTTCCCTTCATAAAGACTGAATATATGCTGATTTTACATGTACTACTACTTTTACTAAACACAGAAAAAAATTAGGATGGTTTTTCCAAATTATGCCAAAAGTTATGTCAAAAATAATGCTTAGAGTTGGAGACGTCATCTAACATGGCGTTTCTTTTAGATTGTTTGACTCTCTCTTTTACTGTGTCAGCCAGTTATTAACTTTTAAGACAAATTATCATTGCAATGCTTTATTGCTATTTTTATAACAAAAAATCACACTTACAGGTATTGCAAGTAAATATTTTTACTGAAAACATCTGACTGCAATTCCTTCAACGGGTTACCGGACAAGTAACTACAATTTTAAGAACAAAAGCAGTTAAAGTGCATTGATAAATAATAATGATAACAGTAATAATAATAACTATAATAATTTTTAAGGGTTTTAACACTTCAAAGCTAGCAACCACTAAAGGAGAAAGATATTACACCCAAAAATTGTTGTGATTAAGGTTAGACTGCGCATGTGTGATAGAGAGTAGCGTGTCAGCAAGTGGTGAAAGTACCGGACCCGGTGGTCTGGGTTAGAAGCCACGCCCAAGATACTCATGGGGTATTATTGATCCCCCGGTTCCAATCAGTGACAGTGTTCCCTAAACGAACGGATAGTCTACGTCCAGTCAGCAGGATTTCCCACCTCTCTAGGTTCACTCTCTTCCTTGTTTACCTTGCCCTGTTAAATTTATAACTTTGGGATTGTCATATGGGCTATTTATTTAGGACTATGTCATTCTCCAGGAGCCCATTACTTCTTTGCTCTTTCTTTTTCTGTTTTAATCGTGACTTCCTAACTTATGCATTTACACCAAATTACGGTCTGATGATGAAAAGCGCATTCTTTGAAACATCAAACGCGCAGTCTCAATTTGCACTGAAATTCAAATCCCAATGCAACTCAGTCCGTTCAAACAATGCTGAAAACGTTATTTACAAGCCCATAAGATTTTCACTACTGTAAATGCTGAGTTTTCAGAGTTGAAACAAATTCTGTATAAGTGCAAAATTTTACCCGAGCCAACATGAACAAACTCATATCATAGCTACGTGATACAAAATTCTTGGTTGGTCTTTCTGGTTGTCTTACATTTATCCCTAATTTTGCTGTAAGTAAGTACAATACATCTCCTACTTACAGAAATGAAAGGTGAAGGTTTTTTCTAAAAATGCCCGAAGACAAATTCTTTAGCTTGTTTTCGTCAAGAGTCCTATTACAAGAAAACATATCAAAATATTGATTAAGTCAGAGCTTCAAGATGATGAAAGACCTAAATGTTTCCAAGTATTAAAGATTTATACAAGTACAATAACAATATCAACCCTAATACAAACTTTTTTATTCAGATGTATATGACATCTATTGAAACAATTTTTAACTTAGCCTAGTTTTCACCCATACTGCGTAAAAGAAAAAAAAACATGCAAAAAGGAAAATAACTCAAAAAGCAATAAAAAAAGGAAAAACATCATTGGCATTCCTCTGCATAAGCAATGAGACAAAAAAACATGGAAAAAAATGCTATTTTATTCTGTCTCATCCAGGTAACTGGGCGTCCTATCTGCACAGAGTAGCTCGTTTCAGCTTCTGACCATTTTCTCGCAAACGGTCTACTTTGCAGCAAAGTCTCGCTTCATAATAAATCAATGTTTTTTCTCAAGTACGGTTTAGACAATGCACCTGACCTAACAACTGAATACCATCTTGTGACATTCTCTGAATAATTGTCCCCAAATTCAAAACCCCTTCGTGTAAATCACATTCGAAAAAAAACTTTGTTTAATTTTATTCCAATCCTTCGCAAGTGCTTCCAAGGAAAAAAATCGTGTGTAAAGAAACTACCACACACTGTATAGCGAGAAAGAGGTTAGTAAATTTATAATTTGACTGAACTATAAGCAGTTTTGCTGTTTATCCCCAGACCCGAAGGAGGCCAGGAAAATGGTGAGGAAGAAACTGATGACGGGATACTTTTCCGTCGATTGGATAGGGTATCAAACATGACCTCTGATGAAAAGTAACTACACAGTTTCAATCACAAAGAACCAGTCTCCGAATCCAGTTTAATTTCTTTAAATAGGGCTGTCAAGTTCAAGTATTAAGAAACTTGCGCTCTGACGCCGCCAATGGAAAAGTACTTTAATTAAAAACAAACAAACGCCCGAAAACAAAAAACAAAACAAACATTAAAAACAAAAACCCTAAAGCAGTCCTTCATCGATATAGAGTATTTTGGATCGTGTAGGCTCTCTCAATTTATTAAATTTTCAGAGAAATTTCCTACTGCCGGTCATTCAGTGGTTTGAGAACCTTGACCGGCTACCGATCAGATGATGATAACGCGAACCAAAAGCAACTTTTTGCTTCATTATAAGCTTAAATCGGAAAATCCCCGAAACTTTTTTTTTAATCATATTTGCTTCCCTTTTGTGCCCGTTTCATGTATTTTTTTCTTTAAAGATCGTGTGCTCGTTAGTTTGTTTTTAATAACCTCAATTTTTGTTTTAAAAAGACTCCACTTCAATTATTGCCTATTTCAATAATATTGCAGTCTTTAGTCCGTGAATATGAAAATTTCGGTAAGACAAAAAGTAATTTCATCTATAAAATGTCGTCTGCGGCACATACTTAAGCAGCCATTTCAAATCCTTGTTTACTCATTCGAAACTACGTGACCACACGGCTAAAAAGGTCTATTGCTAAGGCAGAAACAAGAAGAGAAGTAAGTCCCAGGGTGCTGTCTGTAAAAACATCCCGCGTGGTGTAACGGCATTAACAACAAATTAAAATTTAACTTTGTATGGTATTTTACATAATAAGTGTCATTGTACACAACATGATTACTATGGAGGGCGTAAACTGGAAACAGTGACGCCTGAATTATCTAATCTTTTAATAAAACATCGAACCCATTTTTACGCTCTATGTTAGTTTCTGGGTTATTTTTCTTATTTTTGAATTTTTTTTTTAATATTTCGTTCAAAATCCAAATTTTTACAGGGCTGGTCATTTTATGGCGTAAATAAAAATTTAGGAGGATGAGAAGTGCTGGTGGCACATTCTGTTCAGCAGTGGTCAAAACATGGGAGACTTGGATCCAAATGTACTGCACATCAGCATTAGAAATAACATTAACGTTCGAGAAGAAGGACTTTTCGATCATTTGGAGATAAAACATTAATTCTATGTTCGGTAGATTTGGATTTAAGCCACCTTTTGTATAAATAAAGCTGGGTATAAACTTACAGGTTTCCCAGCCTGGTGTTTCTTCTAAAAATGTCTGATGGTAATTCCTCCAACTGGTTGTTGTCCAACGTCCTTGCAAAAAACCATTAAAAGGCAATGTTAATTACATCGTACATATTAAAGAAGGTCAGGATCCACAAAAACTGTCCGCAAATAAACCTAAAGTATCAAAGAACCGATGCTTTCTTTTCGATTTTCCATATTTGAGTTTGCGACAAGGAAACGTGCTATTTTGTAGAACAAAATGATTCTGAAGGTTTTTTTTTAATTCAAAGCACTGAAAACAATCGAACACTTTAAAATTCCTCACTACTCCCTCCCTCGCCTCTGATCACCCATTGTTGTAATACATAGGGCTTTACGATACAAACTAACATGTAGTGTAGACCACATCATAAGCCAGCCCATATTGATTTGTTGCAGGATGGGGGTTAGGGAAGGTAAAGATACCAAAAGAAGTTTGAAAGATAAAAATATTGAACTAATATTACAGATTGTCTGGAATACACAGACCCTGACAGACGACTGGTTGATGCGCAGCCCAGTCTAGGTTTCAATACAAGAAATTTAGGTTTTTTCACATGCGCAAAGGTGTACTTTCATGATTTTTTTTCTCCTTCCAAACTGAAGTATTCTCTAGTAGAACGTCATTGCTTAAATTTTTTTCTTGTTCTTCAACATCCCAAGTGGTATACGACGGTAAACCAATGTAAAAGTGTGGTTTATTGCTTAGCTTTTCGCCTGGCGGAGCAAAGAGAGACGCGCCATCGGCGCTTGTAATCGTTGCAGGGTGAGAAGAGTTAAAATCATCTGTTTGTGCTGTATTATTTCACTATTTTCGTATATATCACGGGTACGTTTCGGTGGTCGGGCATGATTAAAACCAAGAGAAAAACATGTTCCAGCTTCGCAAATTATTGAAGGTTGGGCAAAACACGACTCTATAATTTGTATCGCTCAAGAATATATATTCCTTATTTTCAAACAAGTTTTATTCCTTTTCGGTCATGGATTTTATTTGGATTTCAACCAAGGACTCTGTTTCCTTTTTTCACGTTTCACGATGAGAAATTGACAAGATTGAATGTTCGAAAAAATATAGGACTCAAATGCGAGGTATAGAGCTGTTTGACGCGAAATGTTGCAAGGGAGTCCCCGTTTAACGGAAAACATAAAAGAACTTTCTTTACATTTATGACCGCAAGAATTCTCTTTCTAAGAACAAAGCAATTCATCTGGTTCAATGTTGTACACAGTTCTTATCCCCTAAATATTCCAGCCACCCCTCAAAGACTTTAAAAATATGGACATTTCGGCAAGACAAGAAGTAATTTCGTCCATAAAATGTCGTCTGCAGTACATACTTAAGCAGCCATTTCAAATCCTTGTTTCCTCATTCCAAACTACGTGACCACACAGCTAAAAAGGCTTATTGATAAGGCAGAAAGAGAGGTCAAAACAAGGAGAGAGGTAGGTCCAAGGGTACTGTGCGTAAAAACATCCCGCGTGATACAACGGTATTAACACCAAACAAGACGATCTAATATCGTAAGTCGGGATACAGGTAGACGCACTGTTACAAGTGTTGACCATTCACGGTGCGCAGTGGTTCTAAAAGAACTACAGAAGTACCATGGTCCTGGTTTGTGGGCCTGGCGTAAAATTTTCTCACCCCTGAGAGGCACCAATTCTACAACAACACACTGTCACATATTTTTGGTGCAATACCTTGACAGGTATCACAGAGGCTGCTGCTGTGGACCTTTTGAGGCTGAACAGCCTAAGAGGTACTAAACCCGCTCTTTTTAACCTCTAAAAGCTATGATGAGCACCTCAGTCTCTTTCTAATAAAGCGTAGTCAGAACGGGTCAATTTTCGGTGTTTGTTCAAGCGTTAAATATTCAACTTTGTCTAGACAAACTGTCGCGCTTCATCATTTACAATTATGGGAAATCCGTACTTTTAAGTACCGACTTTAATTTGAACGCGTGAGAGGGCTAAATAAACGACATTAAACAGAATTTGGCGGAAAATAAATCTAGATTAAAAGTAGTACGTACGTGCAGAAACATAAACACGATAAATTGACGGTATGAACACAAACTTGCATGTTTCACGCTTGAACGAATACGTAAAAGCTGAATACTGTAAACAAAAATACTCCTTGTAGCACGTTTCAAATTTCGAAACTCTTTACTTGTTTACGTTTCCAGAAAGCTTTTAAAACGGCAGCTGGCTGTTATTTTGAACCCTGAACAAATGTTTTTCGGTCACTCTGTACACATTTTCTGTTCACTGATAACTCATTTGATTTCTGGTTTTATTCTAGTGAGACCTTAGCTAAATCATTTAATTATTTTGCTATTTTGAGTTCGCGGAACGAGCCGTTTCGAAATATACGCTAATTACACAAGCCATCTTTTAGAGTGGGTCTACCGCGAACGGTGCGTGGGTCTGTATGCCTGAGCGTAGAAAAGATGACACCATTCGCTAAGATATTCGACAAATCTGCCATGTTCAACATGGTGGAAAGAAGCTCTATTACGTGTCTGCGGTATTCCCCATTGCACGTGACTGAGCTCTGCGGAGAAACACGAGGGTAAACCTATAGTCGGTCGCCCGTCTAATTAAAATTTAACTTTGCAACACAAAGCCTATAACACGCTAGATTTTTTTTCTTTTTAACACGCTGAGTTCCTTTGTTTCCTTGACACGCTGGCTTACCTTTTTACAACCCAGCCTAATTTGTCACTTGTGTTTGTCAAGTGTATTACTAACAAAATATAAGCGAAAATGAAGAAGATCTCTCTCTTACTCGAAAGTTGTAATAATAGAGGAAACACTCACTTTCCCTCAAGATTTTCAGAAGGAATTCAGTGAGTACGACGTGTTTCACAAGGTCCTAAGGAGCTCAGTTTGAACACATGAATTACTTTTTTAAAGTTAATCCTTACCTCGTAAAATATAAATCTTTTCGCTTCACGCAGTTAATTAGCCCTGTATTGAATATTTGTGAATCCTTTAGCGACAGATTACCGGCTCCATGTCTCCTTAACGACGCGGTCGCTGTTTGTCACTCTATGCAAGTTGGCATTTTTGAAATGAATGACCGCTACTTAGCCGGCGCAAAACGAAGCTTTCCGAGCGAAGCCGCGTACTATTCATTATTATATACATACTGAGATTTACGCGCCAAAATTCATCGAGATAAAGATAGTCTCTTCGCACTAGAAAAGCCAGCTGATTGGTCATACGATTATCATTGTTTTCACTAGTGAACAAAACCGTGTCGCTTACTCGCCGCTTCTCTTGACTGACAAATAGCACATTTCTTAGAGCTTCGGCGCATTTTTCTTTAGGAAGATGGCTTCAAATCAGACTAACCGTTTTCAGAGCCTAGAATCATCAATAAAAGAGTTCACAGACGGACAGGAAAATGAAAACACCAAGAAAAAGACAAAAGAATATGTTTCTCTGTTCCATGAATTTCTTGTTTTGAAAAGAGAGACGAGACAAATGGACGAATGACTCCTCAAGCGCTGAACAAGTTTCTCAGCGAGTTCTTTATAACTGTTCGCAAAAAAGAAGACTAGGAATACGAGCTTAGTTCCCTAATGGCATTCCTCGCCAGCTATAAGCGCCTTTCGAAGAAAAATAAACTATGGACTTTGCCTTATGAAAGACGTCCAGTTTGAGCAAACTCGGAAAGCACTTCAGTCAAAGCAAAGGGATCTAAAACAGAAAGGCATGGGCACCAAGCCCAATGCTTCTGCTGTTTTAAGTGAGGAAGATATTCGAGTTCTGTTTGAAAAGGATCTCTTGGAAAGTTCCACGGCAGAAGCGCTTTTAAACAGGGTGTGGTTCAACGACACAATCCATTTCGGGTTACGAGGTTGCAAGGAGACCAGAGAAATGTGCTGGGGAGACGTAAAACTTTGTCAAAACTTCCACAGGGTAGGAGTACCTCGAATTCAATGAAAGAGAAACCAAAACTCGTCCAGGAAACGATCCACGGAAAGTAAGAGCCATTGCGATGAAAATGTTTGCTGTGCCGAACAACGAGAAATGTCCAGTAAAGGCCTTCAAAGTCCACGCAGAAAAGCGACTCGTGGGAATGAAAACCGACGATGCACCGTTTATTTGGCTGTAAGCAATGTAAAATCTGGCTCCGGCAAACCTCGGCTCCAAAAAACTCTAGTCGGTGTAAATAAGCTTAATACCTTAATGAAAACAGTGGCACAGAAAGCCGGATTCGGGCCAAACTTCAAAAACCTCAGCGGCAGAAATACTATGATTCAAACTTTAGTGAACAACGGCGTGCCGCCAACTGATATTAGAGTGGTTTAGCGAGAGGACGGGAACATCATTTCAGAACGGCGCACGCAGCAGAAATACCGATAAGAAACTGGGTCTACAACACCATCGCGTTGTGTTGAAAAGTGAATTAGCAGTCGTTGTAACGAACCGTCGACGTTATATTTGTTCTTGAATATCCTAACCTCGGCTCTTTAAGATCACTATCGGCTTTGAATTTTCGGTTTCATAGACCACTTGAAGGATAACTAAGTTATCCTCTTTGAGAGTGTAACATGCACAAACAGACCATAATATACTACAAGTGAGTTGTTAACATGAATCCACATGGGCGATTAAATTTGAAACTATTTCATTCCAGTTAAGTCTCGAGTCTGCAGATTCATCTATCAAACTTTGAAGCCCACTAAATATATTTTTTTAAGATTTTTATCGCCGTCATTTTGTTTCGTGCTTCTAGATTTCAGCATTACTCGTTTTCCTTCACAACTTTGTAAAGTATAATTTGGAATTTAAATCATCGCCGTTTTTTCCTTGTTTACTGATTATTCTTCTAAATCATGACAGGACATCTCTTTTGAGCACCACCTTCTTAGAGTTGCAATGAATTTTGAACGGGGTTATTAGGAGTTATGGTGAAAACATGTAGAGATCAAGTGACCCAACGATGGAGTTGTTTACAGTGAGTTCCCGTTTGACCATGAACGAATGAAATGCACTCAAATAAGTCAACAACGAAACGGTTAGACTGAGGAATAAGACTTCGTTACTGTTTTATTTTGCTTTTGTTTTTGCTTAATTTCTTTTTTTTAACGAATAAAGTGGTTCAAGACTGAATCAAATTAATAGATTTAGAAAGCCGTGCCGAAATCAAGTTGATTCGCATTTTCTTTCGTAACGATAGAATGACTCTCTTGTCTTAGTTTTCACGGGCGCTGATCAAAAACTTAAGACATAAAAAAATGCAAACCCGATCTATTCTCAAATTTTTTTATCGCTGACTTCGATTCGCAGAAAACTTTTTAATCATGGTGAAAACGACAATGACAACAAATAACACTGAATAAAACAGCAGGTAATCTTTGTGTTGTTTCATTTTGATAAACTTCAACATGAAGTAAGTTTAATTTATTGATGAATCAATTCACGATAAAATTAAGAGCACCCATTCTTCGAGTTTTCATGCATAGTTTAAGAAATGTATCAAAGGAAAGCCCTCACGTTGTTTAAAGCCACGCTAAATTACAAAAGGTAACTGAGCCCTAAAATCTTCGATCGCTTACTAACGATCTTGTTTCCCTTCAGAAATCCAGAATAAATATAATGGTAAATTTTCGCAACTTCACCGAATAAAACAAAGAAAGGGACCTGGTTATCCTGGAAATGAGCTCTGAAATCATTCCAAACAACATTATCTCGCTTATAAGTGCAAACTTAACGCAAATCCTAGGCGTTTTGATCACGACGGGAAAACCAGCAAGATGACGTCCCGAACTTGATGGGGAGAACGGCAATGCTAACACCGAACGTCGAAATAGAGTCATGCCCAGATTATCCGCGCGCTTTCCAGTTCTGAAATGACGTTCCCGTCCTCTTCCTAAATCACTCTATTATGCAACTGTCAGGACACAAAAACGTTCAAAGTATCACTAGCTACTTTACCGTCTCACAGAAACAACAGTTGAACATGTCTTACACTCTCACTGGACTAAGTTTGGGAGAAATAGCTCCCAAGTCTCCCTCTTCTAGAGAAAAGAAAGCACGAGTTTGACGAACTCGCTTATCCAACAAGCAAGCAGCACAGCAGCCCCTTACTCTTTTTTCGGGTGCTGTTATAAGCGGAGGACATATTAGTGTGGTAATAAACACTTTAAATCAATCGCCCACACTTTCAGTACGAGAGCAAAACTCATAAAAGAATTAAACTTCTTAATTCGGATTCTGACTAGTGTTTGTCAGTGCATGCGGGTTCTGATAAGCAACAAAAAATGAATTCTCGGGTTTTAACTTCTGTATTCCAAATTTCGAACTTCCGTAGAACTCTTTCGACAGATTTTCAGGATGTCTTATTTTATTCTAACTAGTTCTACCTTTAAACGGTATTTTTGCTCGATGATTTAAATGTAAAGTTTTTAAAAGGAGGCCATTTCAGTGCAACTCTCGAGCTGTGAGGCAGTTGTTTTCCTTTGAAAGAAAATAAAGATATGTTTATCTCTGAGTTATGTTCGCTTATGAATCCCGGTACGCATATATTAATTATTTCATGGTTAGTTCACTTGCACGATTTTTATTCACTCGTTGTGAATAAAAATCGTACACGCTCACCAACCATGGGACAACCTATATTTGTACGCCAATCTTGGCATCTTACGAGCTCTTAGTCTTTAGCACTGCGGTATATACCTTGCGGAACAGAACTGTAACGCAAGGATAATTAAAATTAACATGGTCGAAGGTACTAACGAGCCTTCTTTTTTAGTTCGCAAAGTGAGCAAACTTAAAGAATCAAACTCCTCTGGACCCTGTGCGTGTATTCAATTGCTTTTGGTTTCCATAGTTAGGTCATTACACTACAACACGTTTACACGCGCAAAGGAACAAGCAAACGCCTCTTAGTCGTTCATTATCAAGTTTCAAAATGCATTCACAGATTCATAAATTCTCATACTTTCTAACTGGCGGAAAAGATTTAGAATCCCTGGCGGAAGATTATTTTTGGCGCCAGACCAGAAGAGGAAGATGATCAACTAGACGACTACGGTTCTGACAGCAGCGATGAAACTAATCAGGAAATTGACTCCGATGATGAATTTGACTTTTCAAATTGTGATACATCTGAGCGATAGAAAGTACAGGCATTTGCGACCAAAACATGTGGATGTGCACTTGGAGATAAAGGAGATCCATGCAGCTCTACTAACAAAATTGAAGTCATCTTCGATTGCCAAAACAACCTTGTGGAACTTTCCTCGACTGAACTCGATCTGGTACTGAATTTTGGGAATGATCCACTGGGCCATAAACTGTGACCGGGTCAGCAACGCGGGAAGAGCAGAGAAAATGAGGCAGCGAACAAGGATGCCTTTCCTTCTTCACAGCCACCGAATCTGCCTGAAAACTTTTCTTTTCATGCATCGTCTCCACAAGACCAGATTCTACAGTCGCGTTAAACATAATCGGGTTAGCGGACTATCGCTTCGTACTCACGGCAACAAGTCTTGACGTCTACCTAGCTCCGCTTTCAGTGCTGAAACTATTAAACGGGTGGTAAAGTTCATCATGAACGTCGCCGAAGACCAAGCTTTTTTACTTCCAGGACGTGTTCCTGGCCTCAAAAGAACTGACAAGAAACTGTTGCCATCCTCCATGACAAAATCTTGTCTTTGGAAAAGGTGCGTAGAGACTAGCAAGGCGAGCATTCAGTGCCACATTAGTACGAGTCCAACGTCTACGGCTGATGTATCAGTACAAAACGACCACTACGACGTGACTACTGAGCTCCGAAAGCAGATATTGAACTGAAGTAGCTAAGCAGCTGACGGCTCTGAAGTGCCTCCATCAGCATGGGCCGGAGCCTGCTTCTTTGCCGCTACTTGATGATGATTCGGACTACCCAACATTGGATTCCGAAGCAGTCGCATCTCTGGTGAGTTTCGATAGCAGCCCCCTGGTCAAGACGTACAAGGAAACAGCCCCATCCAGTAAAGAACCTACTGAGTCTTAGCGTCCCATCCTGCGTACACTGCGTAAAATCTACCAAGAAAGCCCGTCGCCCGTGTTTCCGGACAAAATGGCTTCAACAAGATCACCTCTGTTGACCAGGACGTCGTCCATTAGTGTCACGCAGCCACCTTCCAACGGATGAGCAGCGAACCAAAGTAACTACAATTGTAACCAAGGGAACTGATATGTATCCTGCACCCTTCCTTCTGTTGATGTTCTCTTTACCGGCGGCGAGATGGTAAGGTGCAACGGATCAGGAACTAGAGGTTTCCACCGGTTTTCCGTATATTTTAATTCTTTTTTATATAAAACAAATAGATTCCAGGTTGCCGTGCGTCTGTTCAGTAATAGATCACAGAGGACGTCAAAATGTGGTAAGAACATCAGTGACACACTCGGCTGCGCCTTGTGTGCCACTTTTTTGTTCTTACCACATTTTGACGTCATCTGTGATCTATTACTGAATAGACGCACGGCAACTTGGAATCTATTTGTTAAATCTTGTTCTCTCCTTCGGATAAAAAAAAGAAAAGAATTGCGTTCTCGTGGTGAGAGGGAATCGAGCCCCACACTGCCGATTTAGAGAGCGCAAGCGCTACCACTGCACCACACGGAATGATCGCTAACAAATTTCTTGGTGCCGTTGGATTAGTTCAAATGCACTTTATCAAGCGCGACTGTAATTTAGGACGTTTCGTGTTCTATTTTAGATATATTCCCTTATGGAATACCAATTTTCAAGAAATAGAGTTTCTTTCCCGGATCTTATATTGTCCGTATCCCCATATTCACTTTATCAGAAATATAACCGGCAGTAATTAAATTCAATTTCGGTTACAGGGGCCCGGATATCTCTAGAAAAACGTTACAAATCCGTAAGACCTCGTGAGTCATTCATCACCGTGATATATTGAGGTAAATTTATGGCATAACGTAACATT